TATAAGATTCACCATTACTGTTATTTTGTATTCCTCTCGTATGATCGATTCACTTGTTTGCACATGTGCATCACAAACTCGTATTTGCATAGGTGCATCAGATTTGTCTGCAAAGCCCCCTCCATTATCGACACTTATTTGTAACGCCTGCATTTTTGGGGTCCGCAAAGTTTTTTATTAGCAAGTAATATCGTTTGTTAAGTTAACCTTGAGGATCGCCAACATTTGCATCTTAGGTAATTGGGTACTTCACACCTGTTATGCTATCTCAGTATTAGGATCGTTCATCAGTTGAAATCTAAGCAAAATAGAAATTTAATCTATATAATCAAGTAATTTACTGTTTCAATCAGTTGTTTATGTAGTTTCCTGACTTTCATAGAAACCCAACTTACAAATATCAGATAAAATGGAAACTTAATACGAATTTACTATTTCATCCAGTATACAGCTTTTGATTTCTAGAAAAAAAACAGGTTTAAATAACAATCTAAAAAGTTTGTATGCTTTTTCAAGTGTCTGTTTTGGCTCAAATAAGACATCAGACACTCTTTTGACATTTAAATTGTCGTTTTATTTTTATCTTGTAGTTAGGCACCGTCTTCATCCCCTTTACCTGTCAGTGTTCCGTAATCATCGATTTTCTTTCTCCAGATATTTTTTTTCTCGCAAAGTCCACCTTGTCGCTTATATAGTACATATAACTACTTTACTTAAAATATAAAATACTACAACAATACCAATTAACACCGCATACGGTTATACTCTGAAATAAAAATCAACGTTGAAGAAATAAGAAAATAAAACACATACAAAATAACAAACAAAGAATCGATAATGGAGAACTGGAGATGGCCAAAAACCACGAGCCGCGCAAAATCGGTCCCAGTTCGAGATTTTCATTTTGTAGTGGGTCTCATAGTAACCGGCCCAATCCCAACCAAAATTTCCGCATGTTCTCTGTGTACAGAGCCCGATCCCTAGAACCGATCCGAAATTTTTTCCCCAAAGTTATTTTTGAACATATAAAAATGTTGTTTGAAGATTTCCTTTTTTTATTAACCTGGATATACAACCCGCTATGCGAGCCGACTAATCCCAAGGCGACCAATTGCTTTGCAGATATTCCAGAGTCACTGCATTTGAACCTCCGTGACCACAAGGGGATTTTTATTCCTCATTGGATTTGAACTTGAGACCTCCTAGTACTTTTGACCTTTGGAGTCAAGTTCAAATCAATCAGGCACCACCCTTGTGGTTAAGATTTTTTTCTTTTAGCAATATCTTATTGAAATACACTTTAAAGTCATTAATTGGGTAATTCAAATACACTTTAAAAATATTCTTTAAATATTTTTCACACAAAAAATGTTATAAATGTTTTTGTAATTATATTTTTTAGATTTAGTATTGGAACACCTAAAAAAAACTTCAAAAACCAAAAAAACAACTTGAAGTTATTGGTAAAAAAAACTTGAAAACTTGTAGAAATATTGAAAAACGTGATATATAATTTATAAAAACTTAATTTTTTAAATAAAATTAGGCCTATGTATAATCAGTCCCTGGTCAGGCCTTGCCTTTTCGGGAAAAAAAAAAAGAAGTAATCGATCCCGGGCTAGGTTTGGCCCATTTTGGCCATCTCTAATCGAGATACGAGACTACATATGCGAAACTTTTATTGAAATAATAACAACAATCTTTTAGCCTTATCATGTCGTTTTATCAAAACAACCAACAAACACATTTCATTTGAAGGTTAAAATGTAAATTAACCACAAGGGTGGTGCCTGATTAGTTTGAGCTTGACTCCAAAGATCAAAAGTGCCTGAAGGTCCCAGGTTCAAATCCAATAAGAAACAAAAATCCCCTTGTGACCATATAGGTTCAAATGCGGTGACTCCGGACAACCTGCAAAGCAGGTGGTAGCCCTGAGATTAGTCGGCTAGCGGGTTGGATATCCAGATTAATAAAAAAAATGTAAATTTTAGTACAGCCTTCTTTGAGTTTGAAATTACATTCACGGATGTCAACAATGGTAGTTTTTGTGAATAAAAAGGAACTATCATCGTTGTTGCTCCTATCATATGTCTCAAAATCATAATTTTACCATATTTATTTGTGTTCTTACCATACTTCTTCTCGATAAATCAACAAGCCACTATGTGTATAGTAGAATCTCTTTCGACACATTGTCGTCAATCTAATAATAAGGTTTTTGAAGGCAATAAGGTGACTGCAGATGATTGTTGTGACATATGTTATTAGTCTAACTTTCGAGTCTGAGGACAACTTTCCCGACTGATGAACATATAGAGTCATTATTGTGATAATTGCACAAGTTTCTTATTCTGATCTAGATTTTGGAAGAACATAATGTGAAAATATATATGGTTAGGATGTGATAGCCGGTTAGTTGGTTATAAAGCTCGGGATTGTTTTTGAGAAGTGGTGGTAAGTTAAGGGGGTAGATTTGTTATTATGCTTAAAATCATTTAAAATTAACCCAGATAGAAAGAAAAACTAGGAAAAAAGTTTCTATGTGTGTGTGTGTTTTCTGGAGGCCAAAGGAAACAGAAGCAAAAAGAGAAATAAGAAGAGTTGATTATGTGTTATTACATGAATTTGTTGTCATTCATCTTTATGTCTTTATCTACGTGGATTATATAAGGTGAGTTATTTACAAACTTTCTTTATTTGGTAATTTGGAAATTGGACCGTATGGTTCTTTATATGGGATGATATAAAACTGTTTTGGATGCTATACTTAACATAATTATGAGATTTTTGTATGTTATATCTTGTGGATAGAATAAGGGTGACATATCAATTAGAGATGTATTTTGGTTATAAGGTGGCATATCAAAGAGAGATGTATACAGGGATAAGGGTGACATATAATGGAGAGGTGTATACCGGAATAATTGTGGCATAATCATTGAGTTATGAAGTATGGGTTTTGATCATAATGTTCTTTGTTATCGCACGCTTAAGATGCAATGGCCTGGAGTTGTCACATCTGTGTGATACGATGACTTAAAGTTATCACATCTTATTGATGCGATGAAATATGGTCATCGCACCTATATGATGCGAGGAGTGAGTTTGTCGCATCCTTGTGATGCGACAAGTTGACTTGTCGCACATGTGTGATGTGTGATGGGACAAATTGATTTTATCGCATCAGTGTGTTGCAAGGAGATGAAATTGTTTCACCCATGTGATGCGAGAAAATTATATATTCATCTATATTATACGATAAGTTTACTCATAACGTGTTTATTAAGTTATTTGGCTGTTTTAATGCGATAAATGAAGCTTGTTGTATGAAAGTATTTTTTTATTTGTTGTTGATACAAATATGAGTTCATAAATGTGATTTGATGTTTATTCACCCTGTAATAACATCAAAAAAGATTTCTCATTAGACCTCAAAGTCTAACCCTCATTTTGGTGTTTTAAAAATGTGCGTTACAAGTCGGCCTTAACCAGAGGATGAGGGGAAGAGAAAATTGTGAAGAGTTATATGTATGATAGCATGTTATTCTTTTGTATCTGAATACTTGTTATGTATTTAAGTGTTATCTAGAGATTTTGTGGAAACAATTGGTAGATACTTTGTAATGTAGCTTTTGTAATTAGTGGGACCAGTTGTGTAAATTATATTTCTTGATATATGGAAACATATGTTTTTATACAAATGTGATATTGGGGTGTTACATAAGATAATGAATCATCCATCTCATTTGTTGTTTTCTTATTCATTACCTCTCACTGATGCAGTAAACTTTCCATGTAATCCTGATGTTGCCATTAAATTATATTTTTCACATGTCTTTCGTTTTAAACGATTCCGACAACATTAATAGAAATCCGTATGTTGTATTTGCTTTTACTTAGATTTCTCTCGTCCTAGTTTCATGTCCATCTGTCAATGTAAAGTCAAGGCTACCGACAGTTAAGTTGTTTGTACGGATTTGACTTCTTAAAAGTCAATTAATGACGAGGGAAGAGGTAAGGTATATTAGGATTACGAAATAGCGTAAATAGAACTATAAGTTAGGGGAAACTTCCAAAATAGGTAAGAATTGAATGGAGTTTAATAAGTGTTTATAAATAACGGAATAAAGACAGCGTTTGAACTAATGTTTCCAAAGTGATTGCAACAGTGTATGTGAAAATTCAAAATCATAATAAGATAACCAGAACAAGCTGATTAAATACAGTACAATCGTAAACCATTACATTTATACTGAAAAACTAATCTTATCGTAACAACCTTTTGTTTTGTTTGTAAAACCTTGCTTATTTTGTTATTGAAAGCATTACAATTCAAGTTGCATCATTTTTAATGGAGACGCACTGTAGACTCGTTGGTAATATGTTTACGCTGTTTCAAATCCACATTTGCATATAACCATGTATTTCATATATCAGGAAATACAAATAGTATATCTTCGGTCCCAACAGTACAAAAAGTTATAATACAACATTTACAAAATCCTCAATCAAATTTTTTTCCATAATAACATTCTTGTACATAACTGACATACAAAACTAGTACTCCAAAAATCCAACAGGTATCACACCGCTCTTCAATAAATCAAGCAAGCACAGGAAAATCTCACATTTTCTTCTTTCTCTTATCCCTTGGCAAAAGCCTGATCTTGTAATTGCAAAGAAAAATGATTTCTTACTAGGCCTCAATGTCTAATTCTCACATTTTAAAATGAGAACACCTTTATTAGTTATAAGGAATAAACCCATAATTTCTAAACCACATACACGGAAATCGAAATTATTAACGAAATATATGTACGAAAATTATAATTTACTCTTTAAAAAAAACTTTTATGGACTTAAAATGTAACAAACACCACTCAGGCGAGGAAAAATATGGATTGGACACAAGTATAGGGACCGATATTGTAATTTACTAAAAATAAAAGCTAGATTTGCTGGTATAAAGCAAAGCATCTCGGTGTTCCGGCGATATATAAATTCCCAGAAGACACGCTCTTGACTTGATTTGGAACCCTACCTCCTTTCCGGTTTAATTTCACTCGATCTATATCAAGCTTTGCTCTTTGGGTAAATCGCCGATTCGATCCAATATGGATGAAGAGTATGATGTCGTTGTTCTGGGGACTGGCCTCAAGGAATGCATCCTCAGTGGTCTTCTCTCCGTTGACGGTCTCAAGGTATTGGCTTATTGTTCATATTCTGCTTCTTCTTACTTAAATCGGATACCTGCTAACTTGTGTCTTGCTGATTCGTAGTTAAGAACCGTCATGCCCAAATCTTTGTGCTTTCTATGAAAGGTCTTATCTGTTTCGTTGTTTTAGGTCAACATTGGTCTCCGATTATTTGTCTAGGGGATCAGATCTGAGATGATCAATAGGAGCACGCTATTTCTTTTATTAATTAACAATTTTTTTTAAGAAATTCATTTTTGGCATCTTCGTGACCGAGTTCATTTTTTTTACCAATGGCTATACGATTTTGAAGACGCCCAGATTGCGTATAATAACAGAGCACCATGATATGGGAATCGCTGCATTATGCAAAAAACCCTGTGTGAATTGATGGTAATTGTAACTTCTCAATGTCGGTTATTCTGTGACGATGATCTGCAACTCTATTGGTTTACTAAATATGATCTTATGTAATTATGTACATTTTGATAAGAAAGTTAACAGAAAGTGAAATGAGGTAAGTTTACATCAAATTAGATCTAAACGGTTGATTAAGGTTCAACTTTTATTTAATTGTTTAAAGTATGTAATAGTTATATGATAAATCCACGTTAATTGTCTTTATTTTTGATGCAATGAGGTCTAACTCATTTTTGCAATAAGATAACGTTATTAAGATTATTTTCTGTATGTATTTTTTTGATTCCATTTTTTAAAATAAATTAGAACAATCATCATTCAATTTGATTTCAATTCATCAAAGATATGAAACTTTAATTTGAATAAGAATATAAGATAATTGAAAAACAATAGAACATTTAATTTTTTGGGTCATATATCTGTTTTACCCTTCATTTAGCCAAGCTTAACTTGTCTAGAGCTAAAATAGGAATAGGGGTTTACTTGTTAGCATCTTTCTATAAGTAGTACTATACTAGTAGAGTTTGTGTAGCAGAATAGAAGACAATAGAATAAACATATTTATTTCTATATCTTAGATTGATATATTAAGCAAAAAAATACACTGACAAATTCAATAAAAATTTCATCAAAATCTAATATCTGTTAGTGTACAATCCTAGCGGGGTGTGTTTGGCATAGATGCTCTGTGCCACATTGTTACATCAGAATTCAAATAACAATCGACGTTATCATGTCGAGTTAAGAAAAGGTAGGAGTGCCCTGGGGACAATATTGTTGATTGTGTTTTCAAGGCCAAGAAAGAATTGTTGCCTAAATATTATGACTGGAAAAGTAAGGCGGGTCGGACAAAGCAAACACTAAAGGGGAGCTTGTTTTTGCGTTTACAGATTTGAAAATGCAAAAATGTCTAACATAGGACATTTTTGCATTAAATGTATTTGTTTTCTTTTCTCCTTTCGGAAATGGAAACACTAAAAAGTCATTGGTTAAGATAGAAAAAAGAATACAAAGACTTAAGTTCAGATCTGAAGGAAGATGAAGGTGGTGGTACTCGTCTTCTCCCTCGTCAGGGGTGATAATCTCCCATGCCGCATTCATTCTTTTCTTGATGTCGCCGTTGGTCATTGCAGTCTGAGAGAGAATGGATGAGAAAGAATCAAAGAAAGAAAGACATGGATGTCTAGTGCGAAACAAGGAGAGAAATCGACGGTATTTAGATGGTTTTGATTTGGATTTATATGACCGGTCGGTTTTGATTTGAATTTTTTTATTGATTTTTATTTTGCTTTTCTATTTCTAGTGCTACTTTTTATTATAATTATAATTATAATTTGACTTTCCTTTTTCTTTTGTTTTTTTTTATTTCTTAATGTAGTTTTATAATTTAATTAACTATTTTAATTTGAAAATTCTTAAAAACTAACAACTTATATGTGTTTCCTTTTTCTTTTGTTTTTTTTTTTTAATTCTTAATGTAGTTTTATAATTTAATTAACTATTTTAATTTGAAAATTCTTAAAAACTAACAACTTATATGTGCGAAATGGACAAATATATGGACTTAAGATAATTTCATTCAACCCAATTTTCAAACAGTCTGAATGGTCAAATGTTGCCTCTTAATCCTCAGATTTGAGATTATCATTCTGTCTTTAGCACTCAAAAAATAAATAACCCCCAGGGATAACTTTTCGGAAAAACTGCAGAAAGCTGAGTAGAAATGATCCTTATCCTTGATCATCTTCAATTTATCACATATGTCCGACATATCACAAAAATTTTGTACTTAATGAATTCTCAGTACCTAATTTGTGAAGATTGTTTTCTTCCTTGGGTATGGTGCCCTATGCTGTTACTGCGGTCAAAATACAAAATATCGGTCAAGACTGATATTCGATATTTCGGTCCAAAATAGCGCTTAATATAATATTTCTTAGAATTATATATATATATATATATATGTATTATGTATGCATCCATAAACATATCATATGCATTAATTAGAGTTTAGAAATATAGTGTCAAAATTAAAACATCACATAAACAAGTCTCACAAAACAAAATAGGAAAAGTGTTCAAAAACGAGCTAATCGCAAGCAATAGGTTCGGTATCCGAGTCAACATCATCTAGTACGTTCACTTCTTCGTGAGAAGAAGCGGGAACTGTGAAGAATCGAGAAGAGAAGAAGCGTGAGACCTATTATATGTGTTTACTGGTTGACCGAATAAAGAGGCCCAAAAAACTAAGCCCAGCATGTAATAGAAAAAGCCCAAACATGTAGCAAATCGGTATATCGGACTGATTTTACCATCAAAATATCGGCGATATTACTGGAACCGATATTTCACCACCGATATTTTTCCAAAGACCGGTATCCGATATATCGGCGATATATATCACGATTGTAACAGCATAGATGGTGCCCTTGTATGCTTTATAGATTTAAACGTACCCATTTGTTTTCTTTGGTGTACATTACACACATACTACTATTTACTTTGTGGATCAATCTCTATGGCTGTTCGATAAATAAGAAAAGAAACTACAACCTACTACTTTATGCTAAGATTACATATATGTTAAGTTTTCACACAAAAAAGGATAGAGTAACTAGTAAGCACTTCAGGTTTGCCAAATGATCTTGCAAAAGCGTATCAGCATTACTGCTTGATCTAAAATTTTGGTATTGTGGAAATCTTATTGCTTTATTTTAATCTATCCATCAGTAGGGTGCCATACAATCCTTTCTATATAAATTTCAGAGAAGATGTTCTAGATTGGATATTCTGAATTTTTTTTGTTATTATTATAAAGAAATGTACAATCTCAATGACTTTGTCAACTTACATGAAGCTAAAGATATGCTGTGGCTTTGTAGAACGTTACACTAAAGAATTTGGTGTACTGCATATGTTGTGATATGCTGGGCTATTTAGTGTGGAAGGATTAACTTGGGGCTTTGTGAATTTAGAACATTATCGTTTTTCAGTACAAAATGCAAAAAACTTCATGTTATTGGGGCCATATTAGGTCTCTAATGCTTGATATCTGTAATTAGGTTCTGCACATGGACAGGAACGATTACTATGGGGGAGAATCAACCTCGCTCAATCTTATTCAGGTTTTATGTTCTTAAACCTTTATCCTTACATGAGGCATATACTACAGTTTCATGTAGATCTTAGTAACATAAACATCTAAAAACCTACAGCTCTGGAAGAAATTTAGAGGAAGTGATAAGCCTCCTGCTCACTTAGGTTCTAGTAGAGATTACAATGTGGACATGATTCCTAAGGTATCTTTCTTGTTAAGTTAAATTTTTTGTCTCGTCCTATTTTCTTCCAAATTTATTTTCTTAATTGTTTGTCCAACATAATATTATGACTTATTTTCATATTGCAAGTTTATAATGGCGAATGGTGCTCTAGTACGAGTCCTCATTCACACTGATGTCACAAAATATCTGTACTTCAAAGCTGTGGATGGCAGTTTTGTTTATAATAAAGGAAAGGTATACTGTTTCTCTCAAATTTGTACAACTTCCCACTTGCCTTTTCATGAAAAAAAACTATCATTTTGTCTAGCTTCTAAAGTTGTCACGTCACCTTGGGATATTTAACTGCATAGGTGCACAAAGTTCCTGCAACTGACATGGAGGCTCTTAAGTCTCCTCTCATGGGGATTTTTGAGAAGCGTCGTGCTCGCAAGTTCTTCATCTATGTCCAGGACTACAACGAGAATGAACCCAAAACACACGAGGGGATGGATCTAACACGAGTGACAACCAGAGAGCTTATTGCGTATGCTTCTTTCCTTGATGCCTTGAACTTTCTCAAAAAAAAATTATTTTCATATAATCACATCAAATTATGTTGCTGACACTGAATGTACTTCTAAAATCATCATTTAGGATGATAAATTTTATCATGCATATCATCATATGGCTAGGTATTCTTCCGTGTAAGTTCATTTGGTATGTAAAAGAATGTACGAAGGAGGAAGATTTAAATAGAGTCACATTCCTGTGTAAGTTTACACTTTGCCCCTTGTAGCGCTACGACACCTTTTATCGCCAAATAATTGGTACAAGGTAAATCGAGCCAAGTACCCAGCATAACATATGGATTGGTAAACAAGCTTGAATGATTTCAGCAACATGATGGATATGCATTTGGTTGACCAATAGGATGTACTCATTCCATAAGCAATCAGGTCCATTCTTGTTGCAAATACCTAAATTTAAGACATCACTCTAGAAGCAATGAGAAACATTGTGATGAATCAATAAAATAAGAGCCGTTTCAAGCATATCATTAGTTTTTTTCATTCTTTTGTCGATACCATTGTGGTAAGGTGTATAAGCACATGATGGTTCATGCAGTAGTTTCTCTGAAATTTTTGTTCAGGCAGTAGGCCTTAGGAACCTTTTTCAATTGAAAAAGCATTTAGGACCACCCACTTTACATGAGAAGTGAAAAAAACCTACAAATGACAGATAAGTGAATAGCACCTAAAATTTCGTTATGCCACCCAAAATTTAGAAGGAAGTTGAAAAAAGATCTTTTCAATAAGCTGGGCCAAGTTAAGCCTAACCTCCAAATTTCACCACCATGTCCCAAACATTGTGGTTTGTGGTTGGCTTAGTACACAGCTTGGGATTGCATCATACTCAACTAGCAGGGATGATATGCGTGAATTACGTATTTGGGATACTTTGGTATGGTGTAATTCACATCTAATGCATATTAATTAGGAAGTTATTCATTCCATTTTGTAAATGGAATTACATGGCTGCTGGTGCTACTTATCTAAGAAGAAAAAGAATTGAACTGTGTTGATGGCTGTTGCAATACATCTAACAACTTCCTCCTAAAACTCTACTAATATTATCTTTTCTTCTCTTCAGTAAATATGGTCTTGATGACAACACCGTGGATTTCATTGGCCATGCATTAGCTCTACACAGAGATGATCGATACTTAAATGAACCTGCCCTGGAAACGGTGAAGAAAATGAAGGTGAAAACGTTTGTCGATATGTGTTACTCATGTCTTTTTTAGGTTGTACAATTGATGAGAACTAACTGTTTTTCTAAATGTAATTTCTTCACTAGCTTTATGCAGAGTCACTTGCACGTTTTCAAGGAGGGTCGCCATATATTTATCCTTTGTATGGACTAGGCGAGCTTCCTCAGGTACATAATGATAGATTTCTCTTCGTCTTCCACTCTCTCCCTCCCTCTCTATATCTCACACACGCATACATACATGCTTTCTCTTCATTTGTTTCTTCACGTTGCTTTCTCCACTTATCAAATGAAGTAGGTAAATATTATTGTACTCGCTTTACAAGAAGGGGAAGGTTAAAATTTTACTTGAAACTTATTTTGTAGGCATTTGCTCGGCTTAGTGCTGTTTATGGTGGGACCTATATGTTGAATAAACCTGAGTGCAAGGTATCCCATATCATACCCCTTCTGAACTTTGATTTTCTGAAGCCCGATCTCCCAAATAAGGAAGGCTTCAGTGGCCCACGATGGATATTAATCTTACTAATTTCCAGGTTGAGTTCGACGACGAGGGGAAGGTATGTGGTGTAACTTCAGAGGGTGAAACAGCCAAGTGCAAGAAAGTTGTTTGTGATCCTTCCTATCTGCCTAACAAGGTAGAAGAATTCTTCTGGCATGCGTTTATGAGATCACTTTCTTGCAAATTTGTTTGCTTCAATGCTTAATTACGTAAGCATGGTCCTTGACAGGTGAGGAAGGTGGGGAAGGTCGCCAGGGCAATTTGCATAATGAGCCACCCAATTCCAAATACCAATGACTCACACTCGGTGCAGGTTATTCTTCCACAGAAGCAGTTAGGTCGCAGATCAGACATGTGAGTGAAAAGCTGATATATGATTAATTGTTTGCATAAACCTATTTTTGTTTGAAACGCAATAGTTCAAATGTGGTTCATGCTATTTGATATATCATAATTATGCGTTTAGTACCCTGAAATTGTGAAAGTATACCAGTCCAGTGATTGTGACAGGAAGTTTTAGTTGCCTGTAGTCATTATCTAACTAACTCAGAATATCACAATTCATGAAGATAACAGCTTTGAGATGAAATGCATGACATGATTTTGTTGCCACGTATTAACTACATTACATGATGCACCTTTTCGTGTGTTGGTGTTAACTATTACTGAGGATAATCGTCAAGAAGTTGCAAGAAAATGGTATTTTGCTGTCCTCAGTATAAGGGTTGGCTCTATAGATAGGATAGATGAATGCATATAGCCATATAGGTTGGTTAAGGGTTTAATCTTTATCATCTCATTCACGGTAGTTGATTATACTTGGTCCCGAAATTACTCCATGTACGCTTTTGGCCTCCTAGCAGGTCAGGGGTTCAACGAGCAACTGTATCTTTTAGGATATGCATTTCTAGGAATAGCAATTGACAAAATGTACTCTTCCTCCTTGAATGCATAAGCTCCCCTTGAAATTTGGCAACTTTTCTCCCTATTAATGCACACTCATTTAAAGTACATCTGAAAGTAGAAATAACTTCTATTTGGATGCAGATTTAATATTACTTAATCTTTGTACTGTATACATGTGCTTTGTGTACGCTTTTACTACAATTCACCTATTTGTACACAAAATATTTACCATTCCTTTCACATATTTTTAAGATATGTCGTGGTCCATGTTTAAGCTCTAGGAATTTGTCTTCTCATGAATGATGCCATCTTGCTACTCTATTGTCATGGGAGAAGGCAACAACTGTAGCGCTGTATGCTTGACTATATATTGCCTCGGGGCTTAATCAAATGAGAACCCTATGCATTGTGAATACCGTGAGAAAATTTAGTTTAATGTGTCTTGATTAACATATATTTGTTTCACAATGCATGTTTCATATGTATTCAGTTCACAGTTTGAAATTTTTTTATGTGTTTTTTTTTGTTTCACCAAACATGCCGAGAAGTGTCACATTGTGAAACAAATATATGTTATCAAACCCTAAAATCTATCCTTGGATGAAAAAGGATCAAATGAAATAGCACACGAGCTCTCTAGGTTCTCACAATTTTGTGGGTTTTCAAATGATTAGCCCCCTATATGTGTGTGTGTGTGTGTATATATATATAGTTGGTAAAATCTGTGGCACTTGATGATCACATGAGTTAAACCATATATGTGTGGACCAACATGCATGGTATCAAGGATTCAGGATTGCACTTTTCTATAACCGTCACTGTAAACATTTTCAGTCATAAACTTTTCTAATTTTCGATTTTTTACTTGTTTTCCTGTTAACTACAAACATTTATGTATCCTTATGGCTATTATATGAGATTTCCATTGTGCAGGTATCTGTTTTGCTGTTCATACTCCCACAATGTTGCTCCAAAGGGGAAGTTCATTGCGTTTGTATCCACAGAGGCGGAAACTGATCAACCTGAAATTGAATTAAAGCCGGGGCTTGATCTTCTAGGACCCGTTGATGAAATTTTCTTTGATGTTTATGATAGATATGAACCAGTGAACGAGCCATCTCTCGATAATTGCTTCATATCCACAGTGAGTTTCTCTTCTTGCACTCTACTTGTTTTAAATAATAATATGTGGTCTTAATTCTTGTCTCATGTTTAACAGAGCTATGATGCCACAACTCACTTTGAGTCAACAGTAATTGATGTGCTCAATATGTACTCAATGATAACTGGAAAGGTATGAATTTATTCCTCCTTCCGTAATTAGTTTATTTCTTAATATTTTGAGGTTTTTTTGCTAACGAACGGGTGTTTTCATGTAGGTTCTTGATCTGAATGTAGATCTAAGTGCTGCCAGTGCTGCTGAAGAATAGACGCGTTGGAGGTTTGTTCGTTTTCCTACATGTTGTGTTGTGGAAAGAAGTTTACTTGAAACTTGAAATATCTATATTTCTAGATATATAAGACAGACCGTCAAATGTGTAACGAGGCTGTTCGTACTGTGTAAATTATGACTTGGGTGTGTTCACTCTGCTACTTGGTCCCTCATCCTCCGTGTGCAAATATTTATTTGTTTCACCTTCTTTAATTTCTGAACGGAGTTTATGGTTGCCGACCCCTTTGGGCCGTAGATGACGAGCCTGGTTCTTCACAGAAACAACCGCTCTACCTTACCTTCTCTGGTATCATAGGTCTGCCTATATTCTCACCCTTCCCACACCCCGTCTCTGATTGGCATATGTTGGCTTAGTTTGGTTGGGTATGATTTGGTTGTGTTCATCGGTCTTTTTTGCTGCATATCCTATTTCCTTATCTTGGTGCATAGGTGAGATGCTCATATTGGGTTTGATCATTTATTCATTATGAATAAGGCTCTGTTATGAGTTGCAATGAGAAGGCACTTCTTTTATTATTATTGGTGTCTTTCATTGAAAAAGCTTTTGCAAAAGTAACATCCGGATGTTTGGAATCTTCACAAAATGTTTATTTTGCTTTTGCAAAAGTGGTTCAGACACCTGGATTTGACCGTTTGTAGTACCCTTTGATTGGTTCGATCTTCATGAGGGCATATGCTACAGGCTGACCCATGGTTACTTTTCGAAAGTAACACAGCCGTTTGACTATAAGAACTAAGTATATGTCTCCGAAAAAACGTGTCACCGTATTTTCTTCCAATTTTTCAAATAAAATACAAAAAGTTACAAAATTTTGTCAAAACAATTGATTTGTACCCGCAAGTTTTCGAAAGGACAAACTTTAACACATCAACCTTGTCATCACATATTTTTGTCTTTAATTTAGTTTTAAAAAGCATAATGACATGTAATAAATGGAAGCATGTAATAGGTCCGTTTTTGACATTTAATCTATTTAACTGTCAGTTGTTAGTAAAACGCCGTAATTCATATTGTTAATGATTACGAGATCTTAACGATGTTATGTTGTTTCCATCTCCCGAAAGTTGAGAGACCGGAATTTGTTTAATCGTGTATCGCAATTGTAACACATGAAATGTCGAAACAATGCGACACAACCACACAAATAATTCTAGAAATTGAAAATTAAATTAAAAAATAAAAAGGAAAATCCAATTTTATTTAATTTGTAACGTCAAAACATGAATTTAAATATGTGATTTAAAATAAATTAAAAAAAACAATGGTTGTGTTTTGGTTAAAAAGGAAAAGGGAATGAAAACCAACGGGTGGAGTATAAAAGAAAGAAAATATAAATTGCGAGAAAAAAAGCATAAAAATGGAGTAAAAAAAACATTTCGAGGGAGAAAAGAAAGAGAAGGAGGAGAGAGAGAAGGTGAAGGTGAAGGTGAAGGTAAAGGTGAGGCGAGAAACTCATTTGCAGAAATACCATCCAGCCAGCCAGCCAGCCAAGGTGTCTCTCTCTCTCTCACACACACATACGCACTCTCTTTCCGCCCTAAATCCATCAATCATTCATTCAGGTTTGTTCGTCTTCTTCATTCCCCTATCTCCTTCTTTTCGTTCATTAACTCTCCAATCATTCATTCATTCATCTTTACAGATTACGGAAATATCAGAGATTTTATCTGTGGTTCCTTTACGGATGATGATTGACGGTAATTGGTAAGGAAAGGTTGATCGGATTTCGTCTTTTTAGATTTCTTGCTTGTACCCTTAAAGCCCCTTGTTCTGAATTTTAGGGAATTCCTATGTGTGGTATGGGGGTACTAGCGTCTGATTTTTGATATATATTCAAGATGCGATTTCTCTCTTCAGGTGATCCATGTCTTGTTTTCCAGATATTAACCTAGATCGTCCCATCAACAAACAGTAAGAATCGATTTTTCTGGATCTCTTTGGTTTGGGATTTTTCTGGTGTTGTTTCGTTACTTTGATGGCATCGGGATTAAATCAAGATTAAGTTTTTTTTTTTTTATCTCTTCTCTGGGATTGTGAATTAGAGAAACGATTGAGGTTTTTGTGGTCTAGGAAACCTGCTTAAGGTTGAGAAATTTAAGAGATGCATCCTGCTGCTGCTGCTGCTGCTGCTGCTGCTGCTTCAAGGGTTTGATTTGTTTTGATTTTTTTCAAGTTGTGATATTGGAACAGAGGTGGTTGTGGTGGAGAATGGATAAAAAGAAAGTTGTGGGAGATGAAGATGCCTTGTTTTTGTTAGGGAATCATACAAACCATGAAGCTGTGGCTCAACCTGCTGATGAGATGGAAACTGATGAGACTAGAATAGATAATCCAAATAATGAAGTTGTAATATGTAGGACCGAAGATCGTGATGAAAATGTTGTGTTCTCAAGGGAGGCACCACTTGTAAGTAAAGACCATGGAAAACCCGCAGGCAGTTGTAACCGTACTGATGCAAGTAAACTCAAATCCAGCTTGATCACTACGGATTCCGGAGTTTTAAAGTTTGGGAAATGTGCACAAGAAAAGAAGCTTAGTAGACAAGATAGGATTGAGCTCGGCCGTTTGTTTCAGGGTGCAGTGAGTTCCCATGATTGGGAACTTGCAGAGAGTTTGATATCTTTAGCCGATCCACAGACGCTTAATGATGCGCTGTGCATATCGTTGGATTCCATTTGGTTTTTGAGCACCCATATGGAGCTTGATGGGATTACTGGGTTGATTAAAACCATAATCTCCAATGGTGCTTCCGACTTCACAAGAGCGGCTCTTAGGACTTCGTTCTTAGCTTCCTGTGTCTCAGCCTGCCAAAGCCGAACAATGAGCCTTGCAGACACCGTAACTGTTATGGCACGGCGGTAATTTTCTTTCTTTCAGTTTTTTGTTTTCAATTGATAATATCCTGAATCCTGTTTTGACCCATCTTTCTGCTGCTTTTGTCACTCACGAATATGAAATGATCCTATGAAGCAATCTTTATTGGTAAATTGGAAAAGTGGTGGGATTTTCTCTTAACCAATTGGTTTTATTGAGAGAATATTGTAGATCTTTTGATCAGTTGTATGACAATAGGACTATACTTTGAGAAATATCACAATTATTACAGTTACAAATAAGATCTAGATAGTCAAGAGGGTCTGTGTGCATTTTGTTGGCACACCGGGATTTTTGATATATTATAACACTCGCAATATCTGCTAATCAGGCGTGTTAATTTTTTTGCATACATACCACTTGGATAAAAATTCTTTTGTATTTTTCACATAAAAATCAAAGTAGAATTTAACAAAATTGAATGCTAACTCTTGTTCCTCGATGAATTGACCTATCAATGTGCTATATACATTGGATTGAGTGTGATAATCCTTGCAAAAGCTTATGATACTTCATACATAATTTATACTCCCTCAATCCCAAAATAAATCCAAAATTTCTCTTTTTGGGACGCTAGAATCGATTGCAACATTCCCTCTTTTAGACATTGATTTTGGTCCATAATTTAACGAGGGTATCTAGCTATTTGATAGCCAAAATACTTACGTTGAACTGTGTGCGAGTCAAGTTGCATTCGTTTTAGACACAGGGAATTATAGTATGAGGATACTTTTATGAAAATCAATCTTATTCTAGGGATACACACACACACGTATATATATATATCTTAATTTTTATAATATAATTTCTGAATTGCACTTGATTCAAGTCAGGTTGCATTTCTTAATATAATTTATGAATTGCACTTGTGTCATGTTTATCTTCTTTTTTATTTTGTTAGAATTTGTTAATTGCTCCATATAAAACAGCTATTTGGCTGGAGTCTTCTATAATTGCGAATGATAAAGATATCAAAGGACTTTTACTTGCTCTTAGCTCAACAGGGAGCTTCTGTTACAAGGTTGATGCTCTTACGAGCATGGTGAAACAAAAAGAACTTTCTTGGGGAAAAGCAACCTTTTTTATTTTTTATCTTTTTGTGGGTTTTCTTCATCGCAATGATATTATGAATTATCCACTTGTTCAAATTCAATCTATTAAAAGATAACTGATATTTAGTTAATGTTAAAACATGGACTATTTGCAAGGTAGAAGCTTGCCTCCTCTTCATTCTTGGCCTTTGATGCCTATTCATGTTTGCACCATGGTTGCGTCTTCAATTTCTACTTTACTCACCACCATTACCTCTTTATAATTGGTCTACAATGATACAATATAATACATGAAAAAATGATACTAGTATTTTTTGAAATTACTATAGAAAAGTTAACTTATCATTGTAATTTTAGAGCTTTTGTACAAACATTTGAATGTATGGTTCAAATAGTTGTCAAGGCCAACACTGGGACTATATTCGGACTCTTAACGTCTTTTATTGATGATTGAATATTGATACTACCTTTCTTTTGTCTTTTTGTTAGATGTCACTAATACAACTGGCTTAAAGTGTAATTATGGATGTATTTTTTGCAGCTTGCATGAGCGGCTGCAGGAGTGTAATGGGGATGAGGTTTTGAAAGCTGAAGCTGGTGCTAAGGTCCAGAAATTCACTGAATGGGCTTTGAAATGTATAGGGTTTCATTCTCGTTGCCAAGGGAACAGAGATAGGGTGAATCAGAACTCTGCTGTTCAGGTCCAATTACAGTTGTCAGCCTTCAAGACTTTCTTGGATCTTGCTGGCAATCATCTAACTGGAAAGGACTTTACAGAGGCATTTGATGCAGCTTGCTTCCCTCTTACTCTCTTCTCTAGTTCATTTGATCCTGGTTGGGCATCAGGTATGTCAGCAACTGCGGTACAAGGGTTGCTGGCCATGTTAGTTGAAGGGGGTGCAGATAATGTAAACCAATGCTTTCTTGAGGCCTCACGGTTTGGAAGCACAGAACTAGTTCGCATCTTATTGCAGGTAACCACTCATTTTTATTGGTGAAATGCAAATGTGAACATGCATGTTAACATAAGCCCCAATGTTTTGATCTCCAAAAAGTCTTCATAATTTCTCCAAAAATGGAGAAGCAAAATCTAAATTTCCCAAAAATAATTACATTCAACTCCAACGTTTTCTCTATTATGGTGATTTCAATGTTAGTTATACTATTAAAATATTTAATATGTTTAATATCCCAAGAAACTTAAAAATAAATATTATATAAAATGCTAATACATTCAACCTCGTTGATGGAATCAATAAGAAACATCTCTCTCTCTTTCTCTTCAGCATTTAATTTTAGAGGGTTCTCCGATTGGAGAAGTTCATCATCTCTGTCCTACTTTCTACATTTTGGAGAATCTGGTAGACCATAGAAGTAGGATAAAAATTAGAAACTACTCCTTTTTTTGAGAATCTGTTGGAATTGCTCTCAGGTATATATTGTTTAAGTTCTAAGAAAAGATCATTCTCAAGATTTCATGTTTGATATATGATGTGATTCATCTTCTTATTTGATTGAGTTATTCAGATTATTACCTGCCATTTTATTATTTGTTCTCTTTTGGTCTCTAGAATCTACAAGTATCTAAGAACTTACAATTTTATTTTTCATGTCTTTTTTTAGTTTTATGGTCGAGTATAAATAGATTCTGGGATTCGTTGCTAATGAAGTAATCCATATGAATATATGATTGTAAAGATGAAATAAGATGACTAAGAGAGTCAAAAAGAAGGGGGGCAATGTGCCAATGCTAGTAGCCCCTAAAAAGGCACCTAGTTTTAGAAATATGTAATTATTACACTTTTTAATTAACTAAATGACAATTGTACCCATAATAATAGAGGGAGTAATTAATTTCTTCGTGTCGTAATTAAGGTTAGAATTAAAAAATAGGCACTTCCTTTTGAAAGTGGACACCTTCTATGGTTTATTGGATCTGTCATTTTTTGCTTACTTCTTTTCTCTTTATGTTTTCCTGCCGCTGTGCTGCCAATTTTATGAGTTGGCTTTTAGATTGCTCAAAGAAACAGCTTGGATGTTGATGTTGACCTAGCGTTGGGCTTTGCCTCACACTACGGAAAGATTGGTACGATGGAATGTCTAGTCGAAGAGGGAAATGCGATGGCTTTTTTGGGCCCGTTGATGAGAGCAGCGGAAAGGGGTTGCATGCAGGTTGTCCAGTGGTTCGTGAAAAGAGGCTGTCGCGACATGGAACTATGTCTCGCCCTAACCGCCGCCACATCAAGCAGCCAGGTGGACATTGCCGCCTATCTCCTCCCCCACGTCCCTCAGCACGTCCTAGCGGCTCTCAGCATTGAAATCCTCAAAGCCGCCGGGGAAAGAAGTGGTGGGTCCCTTGATGGCGTCGCCTTTCTCCTCCAATCCAATTTCTTGGGTGATCCAGTTGCCACGTATGCAGTCGCTGACAGCATTTCCAGGTCGGATGATGATTCCGTGGCTCCTGAGCTGCGGGATTTTCTTCAAGAACAGTGGTCGGAGGCGGCTTTCTTGGACGGATTGAAGCAAGGTGAAGTCCATTACTTTAACGTCGTTAGTATCTTGAAATGGGGCGGGTCGCCCATATGTTTGATGGATCTGCCGGGCCCATTGAGGGTTGCGATAGCGTACCTGCCGCTGTACAGGGAGTGTGTGAAGGCGGGCGGATGTTTGTTGTCCCAACAGATGAGGGGGCAGTTGGTTGAGGCGGCGAAACGGTTGGGAGGGGTGGCATTGGAGGAGGCAAGCCAGGGTGAAGAGCTGCTGGCTGTTTTAGAGCAACATCTACCTCCATTTTTGGTGCATGGATGATGAAATGTGTTGTTTTTTAAGAAGAAGAAGAAGAAGAAGAAATTTTGGATGTTTGTGGGTCCATCTGTTGAATCTATGTCAAATGATCATGTAGAAGTGATATGACAATAGAGATTTATGGCATACTCCCATCTCAAGATAATGCTTGCCCTTGTTCAAAACAAAATATGCCTTCTCTGCTCTCTCTGGTTTGCCAATGGTTGGGGTCATTTGTTTTCACATGTTTTGTTATCCCGACCTTCTGACACGTTTGAGAATACCACTGTTTAATAGAAAAACGTTACTTTACTTTCATATATAAGAATACTAAAATATCTGTCGGAAGGGTTATTTGGCTAAATGACCAAAAAGTCCGTCGGAAGGTTATTTGACTAAATGACCAAAAAGTCCATTGGAAAGTGAATCTTGAAAAAGGTCATTTAGCCAAATAACCCAATGCGTGGATGAACGGTTGGGATCTTTTTCTATGATTTTTATTTATACATGTCTTTTTTGAGATCGGTTGGAGTTGAAGTTCTATTTCTATCAATTGATCCACCTCTCACACATTATCATTTTATTAAAAGACGATTTTATATATAATACTCGTTATCATTTTATTAAAAGATGATTATATATAACCCATCATAAACATTAAAACAAATAAAAGTAATTAATTAAGGGTACTATTCAACTATGTATTTAATGTTGTTAGTATCTTCAAAAACTTTTTATGTCAGTGTCATTGTTATCTGTAATGTTGTGATAATAATGTGATAATGTTGTGATTTTACTATATGATAATGTTGTGATAAATTGAAACCTAGTGATCATTACGTCCACGATCATTGGTTAAAATCTGTTCATTATGTGATTGGTCGTTTTTTTTTTCTCATTTTATGGTATTCTTAAAAAATGTAAATATTTATTTAATATTTTACTCTTATCTCAATCCTTCTAAAACTGTGAATTAAAAAGTTAAAATAGAATTAAAATTTAAAATAGAATGATAAACTTACAAGTGTTCTCCCATTTTCTTAAGTCATAGTACTCTCCTTTGAACATTTCCGTATGTATACATACATACATACATACATATATACATACATACATACATACATATATATATATATACACACACACACAGGGTTGGGTTCCGGTAAGAAGTGTAAGAAAAGATCTTCATCCTTGGATCAATCGTAATTGAATGTCAACACTAATGAAGTGCACAAAGATGCATCGTATCAATTTCATTATAAAGCAGAATTCATGAGTGGACATGAGATTAAAAGTGAACCATATGTCAGATCTCTTCTTAAGTTTCTCACCTTAACTATTTTTCTCACATTGTCCTTCGCCTATTTAGGGTTTGGGTTCCGGTGAGAAGGAGAGTTAATGTGAGAAGCGTAAGAAGAGATCTATCACTGGATGCACATTAGAATGAGATGCAGCGAGATGCACCTAATTAATCTCTGTATCAAGCGTGATTCATAGGCGGGTTTGAGATTAAAGGTGATCAAGGGTCCAAATTCCTTCTTATCGTTTCTCACATTAACTCTCGTTACACCATCCTTCGCTCCTCTCCCTATATATATATATATATATATATATATACATATATGTGTATATAAACACACACATACACTACGTTGTATAGGTTGTAACAATGGAACAAGTATTTGAAACGTGCTTTATGCACACACACACACACATACACTACGTTGTATCGGTTGTAATAATGGAACAAGTATTTGAAACGT